ATGCAAATAAGTTATGCTAATGAGCTCCTGCACCTCTCTTTCTACGAAATGACCCCTGGTTCTGCTGCTTCAGACCAACACGGCTACCCACCCGAATCTGCCAGAAATAGAGGGTAACCAAACCAAGATGATGCCTCCAATAAATAAGACACGGCGCTCTAAGGAAATCCCAACTTATAATCAAAGTCCTTCTTATATCAGGGCACTGATCCACGTGACCACGGAAATGTCTTCAGACAGCGCTGGCTCTTCAGCTTGGAAACAGAGATGAGCACCGCCCCCCTAGAGTCGGATTCGACTGGCTTCTGAGCAAGGGGGAAACCTTTACCTTTACTATCAGCAGGGCTATTTTTGGGCAGGAACTCATTAGCATAACAGGCCACACCCAACAGCAGAAACTCATTAGGATTGGCTACATTAGAGGTGTGTGGTTCCTGCTACAAAAAAAGCCCTGGGTCTTGACAACAAACAAGGTAAACAGAATAAGAAGCAAAAGGTGGGTGTGGCTGGATGACCACACTTCTGGTAACACGGGGCTGCGGCCTAGTATGCTAATGAGCTGTGCTGTCAGGGTGTGGCCTAATATGCTAATGAGTTCCTGCTGTTGGGTGTGGCCTATTATGCTAATGAGTTCCTGCTGGGCTTTTTCTACAAAAAGAGCCCTGATTATTACAAACAGAATACCCACCCACATGCAAAAACAAAACTGTTATGGCACTACAGGGAGATACCTACTAACGGTATTTTAAAAAGCCAGATGGTGATGGGCGAGGGGCGGATGGCAGTTCCAGGGGAAATGGGAGAGGGAAGGGGCACGGGATGTGGGTGGAGAAATGTCCAAACCTGCCCCTTCCTGTCCACACTCTCCCCAGATCCATGGGGAGTAGAGCCTTCCAAGTAGGGATAATTTTGCAGAAAAAGAGGTGCAGGAGCTCATTAGCATAACTCATTTGCATAACTCATTTGCATGTGCCACACCCCCTGACATCACCGGAAGTGCGTCAGAAGGCAACACCCACCGCTCAGGCTCCACTGGACTCTTTTGGATTTCTAGTCACTGGGGGGGAATGCGCAGATCTGTCCTCGCAGAGGAGGGAGAGCTCGTACCTGAATAAAACCTGGTCTTAAAGATGCCACTGGACTGTTTTGGGCCGGGGGGCCCTACAACTTACCTGACTGCTTCATGCTCTGACTGAGGGCTGCTGGGAGCAGGGGGTGGGGCTTGTTGCATGTGCCCGCCCCCTGGGCTCTTTATTGCTGGAGCTCCGCTCCTATGCACTCCTGCAGGAAATGACCCCTGCTTCCAAGGGAGGTCAGACAGCGCTAAGTCCACTGCTCACCTCTGTGCCCTCTGGTGGCCTCCCGGGCAGGGCTCCCGGGTGCGGTTTCCCTCTGCGGGCTGCTCAAGGGGGTGCCGGCTGGACTGGCTCTCCTCTCGCGTCTTTCTCTCACACAGCTCTCTGAGCCTGTTGGAAGCACATCCAGGAAAGTGACAGCAGCTCAGGCAGCCTGACCCACCCCCAGCCCACCCCGCCTCAGCTAGAGACCCCCCCTCAGAGGGGTGAGCTCACTTTCTCGGGATGCCGGTCTCCTGTGGCCACTGTCCTCCTCGGCTGGCAAGCGTCTCGTCTCTCCACCGGCGTTGCTAGCCGACGAACTGCGTGGATCGGGGCCCCTGGCCGTGATCTCCTTGAGGCACTGGAGGAGGCCTTGGAGGGGACTGCTCTCCGCCAAGCGCCCTGTGCACAGAGAGGCAGGAAGAGACCCCCGACTCAGCCAAAGCCTCTGGCTCGAGGGCCCCGCATGGCAAATCCTGCTCACGAATGCATTCACATGTGCATTTACATTTATTGATTTTTATCCCGCCTTCATCCCCGGTTGGGGATCAAAAGAACACAATTCTTCCCTCCTCCCTGCTCTCACAACAACCCTATGAGGTCGGCCAGGCAGGGAATTTGTGGCCACCCAGTGAGTTTCCATGGGAGAAGTGGGGATCTGAACCTGGGTCTCCCAGAATCCCTAGTCTACCCACTCTCCCTACTACCTCATGCCGGCTCTCAGAATGCTGGCATTTCTTGGTGTCGTGGTTAAGCGGGCGGAGTCTAATCTGGGAGAAGTGGGCTTGATTCCCCACTCCTCCTCCACTTGCACCTGGCTGGATGACCTCGGGCAAGCCGTAGTTCTGCCAGAGCTGTTCTTGAAAAAGAGCCGTTTCTGTCAGAGCTCTCTCAGTCTCGCCTGCCTCACAGGGTGTCTGTTGTGGGGAGGGGAAGGGAAAGGAGTTTGTAAGCCGCTCTGAGACTCCTTTGGGTAGTGAAGGGCAGGGTATAAATCCAATCTCCTCCTCTTCCTCTTCTTCTAACTGAAAATAACAATAATTTGACTACTGAAGAAGGCCTTAGAGGCCGAAACGAGTTTGGTACTGTTTTAATGTGGTTCAAGGTTCTCAGCCTAGGGATAGTGAATTGTTGGTCCTGTTTTATCGGTTCAAGGCTATATTAATCTAGAGAGATTAACCATGTTACATGGATTTAGGACTTTTTAGTCCAAATATTTTGCTGCTTCAAGGGCAGAATGTGCCTATGTTTTTAAAGTAAGAGTTTTATCTGTGCACTTTGGAATGAATGAATAAATAAATATATAATTTCATTTATTCCTCGTAATTTTCTCTTATCCAGCTTTGTGGGATCCGAATTAACATCAGAGTTGCTTCCAGGCATTTCACTGGGAAACAGGACGGAGCTGAAGTCGGACTACCACTCGCCTTCGTCTTCTTCCACGGAGGCTGTGCTTTTGGGTCCGCCCTGCTCCCGGTGCTCGGAGCTGCCCTGGGAGTCGCCGGCCGGTGTCTGGGAACGATGGCACGGGCTGGCGGGCATCTCTGCCAGGTAATCTGCCAAGCCTTGGAGGCGGGCGCTGCTGGCAGTGCCTTTCCTTTTAGCTGCAGGGGAACAGAGAGAGACAGGCCTCAGAGCAAGGCTGGAGATCGGAACTCAGTCCTCCGCCCGTCCCTGCCCACAGCTGAGACAGAACTACAAGATGCAGCTCTTGCAGACAGGAGAGGGGGGCACATTTAGGTGCTCTCCTGTGTTCCCTCTAAGCTCAGGAAGGAGGGCTCCAGAGCAAACTGATTCATGCAGTGGCCGAACCGCTCACTCACAACTTTAATGCCAAAAGCTCACAAAGTAGCATTTTTGCTCACAAGACTCCACAGCTTAGAGGGAGCATTGGACGGCTCTCCTGTCTGAAACACCTCTGCTTCCTGAGAGGCTAGTTTGCTAATTGCAGGGAGTTCCTTATGCCGAGGAGTACCTGAGCCTGTGATCCCCTGCCCACCCTCTTGTCTGAAGCAGCACGGTCCAGGGCCGGCTGACGGTTCCTCTCGCTCAGCGACTGGGCTGCGCCTGGCAGGCAAGGGCGGGGCTGCTTGGACCCACACCCTCCACCACTCCTTCCCGCTGCCGGGCAGGGCTTCCCTCTGCGCCCAGCCTCTCTAGCCTGGGGTCCTCCTGGGACACCACCATGGCCCGGCACGGACTGGCAGACGAGCCCCAGGCAGAATCGGGTCCCACTGCTGCCCAGATGAGGCGGCTCACCATCAGCCGGGGGATGCTGGCGCCGGCTGTCCAGACGGTTCTGCTCGGCCTCTCTGTCCAATGTGCCATCAGAGGAGTCCGGGGCGGATGGGTCGGAGCCCCCGGCAGCCATGACCTTTGGGGAGTTCTGGGGGCTGTGGACGAGGATGCCGCCTGCTGGGGCTAGGATAAACGGACATGTAATATTCCTGTCAAGCACAAGAGCAGAACCCTCCCAAGGGTCGAGGGCTTACCAGTTTGGTGTTGTGGTCAAGAGCACGGACTCTAATCTGGGAGAACCACGTTTGATTCCCCACTCCTCCACATGCAGCTGCCAGGGTTCCCTCTTAGCTGAGTTGGTGTGAGCCAGCTCACAGTTTTTTAGCCTCCAGCTCACACATTTTTGTCTTAGCTCAGGAAGGAGGGCTCCAGAGCAAACTGATTTATCCAAATGTCTCGCTCACAACTTTAATGCCAGCAGCAGAGTCAGTTTGGTGTAGTGGTTAAGTGTGCGCACTCTGATCTGGGAGAACCGGGCTTGATTTCCCACTCCTTCACATGCACCTGGCTGGATGACCTTGGGCAAGCCGTAGTTCTGATAAGGGCTGTCCTTGAAAAAGAGCACTTTCTGTCAAGAGCTCTCTCAGCCCCACCTCCCTCCCAGGGTGTCTGTTGTGGGGAGGGGAAGGGAAAGGAGTTTGTAAGTCGCTCTGAGACTCCTTTGGGTAGTGAAGGGCAGGGTATAAATCCAATCTCCTCTTCTCTTCTTCTCCTCATGGAGTAGGACTTTTGCTCACAAGTCTCCACAGCTTAGAGGGAGCATTGGCAGCTGCTGGTGTGACCCTGGGTCAATTACAAGTCCTTACATAGAATGCCCAATACATCTGTCCTCAGCATCAGCCGGTAACACTGACACTTCTGCCCGGCTAACACGACACCTTCTGCTCCCAAGAAAGAGAGCGCACGGTTTGCTTTTCTAGTTTCGGGGGCAGCCCTGCAGGTTCGCAGTAGAACAACGAGACCCGAGTCCTGGAATTTTAAGGTAGGGGCTTTCCAGAGTCCAAGGCCCCTTTGTCAGATACTTTTCTGAACAGGTGAAGAGAAAAATGAAACAAGTTTGGTGTCGTGGTTAAGCGCAGTGGACTCTAATCTGGGAGAACGGGTTTGGATTCCCCACTCCTCCATGTGCAGCTGCTGGTGTGACCTTGGGCCAGTCACAAGTTCTCCCAGAGCTATTCTCTCAGGAGCAGTCCTCGAAAGAGCTCTCTCAGCCCCACCTACCTCACAGGGTGTCTGTCTGTTGTGGGGGAGGAGGAAGGGAGAGGAGATTCTTAAGCCGTTCTGAGACTCTTTTGGGTAGTGAAGGGCCATGGGATATGAATCCAGTCTCCTCTTCCTCCTCCCCCCTCCCCCTCTTCTTCTTCTTACCGTGGCTCTCCATGGGCCTGGCTACGGGCGGATGTGTCTCTGCACCCAGGCTTTGCAAAGAGAGACTCCTGGGGCCACGGACTGTGGATCGCCTCCCTCTGCCACTGACTGGGGCTCAATTTAACCCTGCTGCTGGCTGAAGCACACTTTCCCATGGGGCTTCGCACTCTCGCACGGCATCGGGTTGGAACTGGGCAGCTTCCCGGGCAAATCAGCTACACAGCAAGACACGAAGCTGCCTATACCTGAATCAGACCCTTGGCCCTTCAAAGTCAGCACTGTCTACTCAGACTGGCAGCCGCTCTCCAGGGTCTCCGGCGGAGAAAAGTCTTCTGCAGCACCTACTACCTGACCTGGAGCTGCTGGTGGCTGAGCCTGGGACCCTCCGCAAGCCAAGCAGAGGCTCTGCCACTGAGCCAGTGAGCCACAGACATAAAATGTCCTCGTGAAGCACAAGAGGAGAACCCTTCCAAGGCTTCCCGTGGCTCTTCGTGGGCCTGGCGACGGGCAGATGTGTCTCTGCATCATGAGTGAACAAATGTAAAGAAAACAGTCGCGAGAGTCTGACCCCACAGATCAGGCAGTCAACAAGACTTGCAAAGAGAATGCTTTCTGCATATTATGGTCAACAAGCACGACAACACAACGAACACATTCCTTCACATCATAAGAAAATCCTAGTGTGAAAATACATCATCAACGTCGTCTCCGGATTACATAACAACATTTCAAAATTGGATTAGAGTCGTACAAAAGCTCTCGCGCTCCTAAAGTGCTTTACAAAAAAATCAAGCAAGATGATACATTTACTTAGGACGCTGATCTCAGCATGTATTCAGGCTCAAATATGCTGCTAAGCTTCTGATGGATCCCCAGGCAATTTGAAGGAATGTGTTCGTTGTGTTGTCGTGCTTGTTGACCATAATATACAGAAAGCATTCTCTTTGCAAGTCTTGTTGACTGCTTGATCTGCGGGTCAGACACTCGCGACTGTTTTCTTTACATCTCTGATTAGGTCGTGATTGTCCACATTTCTTCTGCACCATGAGAACATAAGAGACACCATGTTGTATCAGGCCAATGTCCTATCCAGTCTGACACTCTGTGTCACACAGCCCCCTATAGACCAGTCCCGGGGGGGGCAACAATGGGGGGCACGATTGCCTCCGTGTCTGATTTGCAGGCCTTCCAGGGCAACTGGTAATTCACTGAGTGAAACAGGATGGTGGACGAGATGGAGCCACCTTGGCCTGATCCAGCAGGGTTCTTCTTCGCTTCCACGGACCTCGGGCTGCAGACCAAGGCTTCACTTGTCCTCTTCTCCACTCCTAAGACACTGCCCCCACCTTCCATTCTTTCACCAGCACAGTGACCTCCTGCACTCCTGAATGGACCATGGCCTGGACCACCTGGCCTATAGGGACTGTGGAAATGCCAGGTCCCGACACTTGTCCTGGGCACGGATGAGGATGAGCTGACAGAGCCTGCAGAAACCACAGCTGGCCCCTCTGAAGCAAGAAGGAAGAACTGCAAGCTGAAAGCCCTCCTGACTCACCCCCACATGTAACTCGTTTAAGGGAGCGACTGCGGCAGAATGTAGCAAGCAGGCGAAGAGAGGCCAGGCTACAAGGGAGACGCTCAGCCAGCCCAGAGTTCTAACAGGAGCCTGGCCGATCGTGCAGATGGCTAATTGGAGCATTTAACTCCACACTCTTTGTGGAAGCAACAAGTCAGCTTTGTGCTGCTTGCATACACTCCGGCTCGGCTCTTGCACCTAGACCTTTGGACCCCCTGGCTTTGGACCTGGCTCTGTGTTCCTGGCTCCTGACCCCAGCTTGGCTTTGGACTACGTTTCTGGTTAGTGATTTGGACTTGGCTCTGTGCTCCTGGCTCCCGACCTTGTCCTGTTCTGGACTCCCTTTGAATGGCACCCCAGCCCATGACAACACTCACCCTGGCTGCTGTCCCACCACGCCCCGCTCTCCGGGCTCTGCCGGTCCCTCTCCGATTCACTGCAGCTGGAGGAGGCAGAGGAAATGCTTGGCGTGTTGAGGTAACTCGGCCGTCGGATGGGGACCTCCTTCAGGCAGCTCATCAGTCTGTGCAGAGGAGAACTTTCCACGTTGGCTTCCACGCAACCAGAGGTGTTCGTGGGACACCGTGGCAGGCTGTCTTTGGGACCACCTGGTGGAAAGAAAAGGCAGCCCACCGGCCCAGATAAGGAGCTGAACTGAACATTCAAGAGGCAAACCAGCGGGGCTTTTTGTTCTAGAACTTCTTTGACAAAATTCTTTTAAAAAGTTTTAAAAGTTCATGAGTTTTCAGTATACAGATTGATAACTTCATTTCCCTCTTGAGAGTTCTGGGACCTCTGTTTGTTTTTTGGGTTTTTTAAAGCCCTGCAAATCAGTATTTTCAGGGTGAGAATTCTGTCCCCAGATTCAGGATTCAACCTGTAGGCTCCAGCAGTGAATTCTGAGAACTGGAAAGGAAGGCGAAATTCTTAACCGCAGCATCCGAGTGGCCACTGGACTGGCGGGTGTGATGGACTCAGCGTGGAACGGCACTAACCACGCGGGGGTGGGGACTGATACAGCCCCAGAGGGGAGCGTCTCATGGGCTGTGGCCGCCACACCACTCTGACGGCACATGGAATGGGACCTTCCTCATAATTTGTGTTAAATACTGGGTTCCATGGATGGTCCAACCCCAAGCTTCGTGACCAGCTGTCCTTTATTAGTGACTAGGAGGAAGGCCCGTTGCAGGCATGAATGCAACGAGTGCTAGTGTGGGTGGGCGGCCCCCTCCCGCGGAGATGGGCAGGGTCCCTCCGCTGCCTGCTGCGTGGGGAGGTTGAGCAACCCAGCGCAAACAGGCAAGGGGAGGCGGCGTAAACTGGCGGTTGCAGGGGCTGAGAAGGAAGGGGAGGGGGTTTAAATTGCCTCCCTTTCCATCGCGACGCCCCCCCCCCCCCGCGGCTGGGGCGCACCGGCAGGCCAATGAGGGTGGTGGAGGGGAGGCTGGTGGAGGCCGGATGGCCTCCCCAAAGAACTGTCCGCAGCGTCCCCAGGCCAGGCTGCGGTGGCCCCAGGAAGTGTGGTGTGGCCTTCCCCCCCATCCCGAGGTGAGGCGGGGCACGCCACCAGGGTGGCGAGGCCAAGGGAGCACCAGGAACCCTGGCAGAGCCCCCCCCCCACAGAAGTGCCCGCGGCATCCCTGGGCCAGGGTGCGGCGGCACAGGGAAGCACGGCACAACCATCCCCTTCTCTTCCCACCAACCGGATGCTGCCGGCGCTGCCGATCGGACCCGTCCTCAGTTTGTGAGGGTCTGGCCAGCCTCGTCCCTCCTCCCCACCCCTCCAGCCAATGGGACACCAGGAGTCCTGAGCGGCAGCTGGCAGCCCAATGACTGAGGGAGCGCATTTTTCCTCGCTACCCCATAGGCTAAGGGCCACCCCAACTGGCTTTTATATATAAAGAGAAAAAGCAAAAAGCCAGGGTAGCGGCCCTGTTAAATAGCATGCAACTCCACCCACTTCCCCAAACAACTACCAACGATAGGCCATCATCAGAACCATTGATTCCTCATTGGCTACTTCCAGAGTCCTGGTGGGCTATTGTTCTAGAGATCCAAGCTCAGCCCATCTCTGGTAGAAACGGTCCTGGAATGTTCCAGTTGCCATACATGACAGTTTGCATTCCATGTTATCTTTTCTCATTCAGATTTGCAATGAGTATCCACAGCAGTATATTGGTTCTGAAGACTCACTGTACCTTCACGACCTGTAAATCCCATTTCCTTCTTTATTTCAGTATTGAAAGAGAGACCATGATGGGAGAGGGAGGGAAATCCCTCTCCAAGATAAATGTGTTATTTTCCTTTCCAGAAGACTAAAAAGAAAATTCTTAAGAAATGGCCGGAAATGGTAAGCTGTGATGATAAGTTTGGGCTGCAAGAATGTGGGGTACCCCAACCACCCAGCTGCCACTGAAAATGAGTTGTACTGGGGAGGCCTGGGTTCAGGTCCCCGCTCAGAGCTGGGGCTCACTGGGTGGATGAGCCATGCCACGTACCCACAGGTGACTGTCCCCCTTCTCCCCGCCCCTCCTCTTACCTCCTGCCCACGGCCGCCGGGATTCGGCATCTCCTCTCCTCAGCTTCTGGGTACAGAAGAAGCCGGTTGCTGTGAAGCAATTTGGCAGTGAATTCCCACCCACGGGGATTTCTTTCAAGCAGTTCTCCAGGCCTTGAAGGGGAGGGATCCCAGGGGGGCTTGCTCCTGTGGGGAGAGGGGTTATACGAAGGGCAGCTGAGGACCAGTGCCACAGCCAGAATCTCAGGGCTGTCATTAGAAACAAAACAAAGTCCACGAGATCAAACATTCTGCACTGTAAGTTAGTGATATAAAACTGCAAACATTGGGTAGGATCCTAAGAATGTAAGAAGAACCCTGCTGGGTCAGACCAATGAGGGTCCCTCTAGTCCAGCCTCCAGTCTCACACAGGGGCCAACCAGTTCCTCTGGAAGGCCAACAACGGGGCAGAGAGGCCGAGGCCTTCCCCTGAGAAGGACATCAGAAGATCCCTCCTGGATCAGACCAATAAGGGTCCATCTAGTCCAGCCTCCTGTCTCACCCAGTGGCCAACCAGTTCCTTTGGAGGGCCAGCAACAGGGCAGAGAGGCCGAGGCCTTCCCCTGATAAGAACCTCAGGAGAGCCCTGCTGGATCAGACCAGGGAGGGTCCCTCTAGTCCAGCCTCCCGTCTCACACAGGGGCCAGCCAGTCCCTCTGGAGGGCCAGCAACAGGGCAGAGAGGCCGAGGCCTTCCCCTGAGAAGGACACCAGAAGAGCCCTGCTGGGTCAGACCAGGGAGGGTCCCTCCAGTCCAGCCTCCCGTCTCACACAGGGGCCAGCCAGTTCCTCTGGAGGGCCAACAACAGGGCAGAGAGGCCGAGGCCTTCCACTGAGAAGGACACCAGAAGAGCCCTGCTGGGTCAGACCAGGGAGGGTCCCTCCAGTCCAGCCTCCCGTCTCACACAGGGGCCAGCCAGTTCCTCTGGAGGGCCAACAACAGGGCAGAGAGGCCGAGGCCTTCCCCTGAGAAGAACCTCAGAAGAGCCCTGCTGGGTCAGTCCAAGGAGGGTCCATCTAGTCCAGCCTCCCGTCTCACGCAGGGGCCAGCCAGTTCCTCTGGAGGGCCAGTAACAGGGCAGAGGGGCCCAGGCCTTCCCCTGATGTTTCCTCCTGGCTCTGGGATTCAGAATCTTAGTGCCTATGCACATGAAAGTTCCCCTTAGTCACCATGGCTAGTAGCCATTGATAGACCTGAATCTTTCTAATCCATAAATCTTTCTCATTCCCTTTGAAAACTGTTTACTCCCATGGCCATCACTACACCCTCTGGCACTCCTGCGGATCATTATACCACTATAGCAAATTGGAAATTCCCCATTTTTTTACAGCGCTCTGGTGTGTTTGGGTGTGTGTGTGTGAGATGGCAGATTGGAGAATTAGAAGACAAAAGTGGAGCTGATGTTAGCAAAACCTCCAAAAAGACACACCTTCCCATCTGCCCAGCATCCGAAGGTGTTTTTTGTTTTTAACTATGATCTTTCCCAAAAGATTGCACCAAACCAGGCTTGGGAAAGAGAAAATGCAGAAGCAGGGCTAGCAGGGGGTGGTAAGCCAGTGTTGGATCAGGCCAATGGCCCCTCCAGTCCAACACTCTGTTGTCACACGGTGGCCAGAAATACCAGGGGCCATCAGGAGGTCCAGCAGTGGGGCCAGTGGGGTGTCCCAGGGATGCTCCCCAAAAGAGTTGGGAAGCCAAGCTGAGCAAAGCCTCCCTGTGGAAACCCCCCTGGGAAGTGGCTTTTGGACGGAAGGGCAGGATACCGACATTTAAGTGGCGACCTTGGGACAGGAATTCTCTCCCAGTCGAACCTACCTCACAGGGCTGTTGTGAGGATCGAATGTAGGGAAGGTAGAACCACAAATTCTGCCTCAAGCTTCCCAGAGGAAAGGCAAAATAAAAATGTGACACACCTGTCCACAAACACACACACACACACACATACGTCACCCCCACTGTTCTGGCACCAACACAATTTCCCAGTGAAATAATAAACATTTTGGAATCTGGAGACTGGCGCTCACCTTCCTCCTTCCTGGCCCACTTCCCTGCCTCCGGTGTCCAGCGGTGGAGCCCTTCTGAGGAGCCGCTGAAGGAGGAGCTGAGTGCCGGCGAAGGGGGCTGGCTGCGCATGTGTGGGGGGAAGTCCTTCAAGCAGCGCCTCTCCAGGCCTTTCGAGGGGGGCCCACTCCGGCTGAGTCCTGCGGGCACAAAGGGAGCAGAGAGGGCCGAGCTGCTTCTGCCAACCTCACATGCCAGTTCTTGGGTGGGCTTCGTTTGCAGGAAGAGCCGCAGAATCAGCCTTCTCCCAGCAGAACTGGGACATAAAATGATGCACGGGGCAGAGACAGCGGACCGAGGCAACTTCTCCCTCCTCTCCCAAAATACTAGAACTGGAGGGCATCCATTGACATTGATGGGCAGTAAATTCAGGATGGATAAAAGGAGATATTTCTTTACACAGTGAGTGATTAAAATATGGTATTAGTTGCCAGAGGATGTTGTGATGGCCACAGGAATAAACAGCTGTAAAAGGAGATTAGGTAGATTCATGGAGGATAAGTCTGTCAATGGCTACTAGCCATGGGGACTGAGGGGAACCTCCACATTCAGAGGCCGTCAGTCTCTGAACACCAGTGCCAGGAGGCAACATCAAGGAAGGCCTCTCTGCCCTGTTGTTCGCACTCCAGAGGGACTGGCTGGCCACTGTGTGAGACGGGAGGCTGGACCGGATGGGCCCTCCCTGGTCTGCTCCAGCAGGGCTCCTCTGGTGTTCTTGTCAGGGGAAGGCCTCGGCCCCTCTGCCCTGTTGCTGGCCCTCCAGAGGGACTGGCTGGCCCCTGTGTGAGACGGGAGGCTGGACTAGAGGGACCCTCTCTGGTCTGACCCAGCAGGGCTCTTCTGAGGTTCTTATCAGGGGATGGCCTCGGCTTCTTTGCCCTTTTGCTGGCCCTCCAGAGGAACTGGCTGGCCCCTGTGTGAGACGGGAGGCTGGACTAGATGGACCCTCCCTGGTCTGACCCAGCAGGGCTCTTCTGAGGTTCTTCTCAGGGGAAGGCCTCGGCCTCTCTGCCCTGTTGCTGGCCCTCCAGAGGGACTGGCTGGCCCCTGTGTGAGACGGGAGGCTGGACTAGAGGGACCCTCCCTGGTCTGACCCAGCAGGGCTCTTCTGATGTTCTTGTCAGGGGAAGGCCTCGGCCTCTCTGCCCTGTTGCTGGCCCTCCGGATGGACTGGCTGGCCCCTGTGTGAGACGGGAGGCTGGACTAGAGGGACCCTCCCTGGTCTGACTCAGCAGGGCTCTTCTGGTGTTCTTCTCAGGGGAAGGCCTCGGCCTCCCTGCCCTGTTGCTGGCTCTCCAGAGGAACTGGCTGGCCCCTGTGTGAGACGGGAGGCTGGACTGGAGGGACCCTCCCTGGTCTGACCCAGCAGGGCTCTGCTTAGGTTCTGCTTAGGTTGTTAACTGGCCCAGCGCCCTGCTTTCTACCTGGGTGGTCTCTGGGCAGCTGCCAAAGGCTCTCTCTCTCACCAGCTGCTTGGATCATTTGTGACAAGGACACAGGAAAGCGACAACAGTTCCTCACTTCTGGGTGAGAATTCGGAGGAGGGGGGTCAAGGACAGTCTGGATTCATCCCTCATCTCCCAACAAAGAAGATTTTATCTCCCCCCCCCCTGCAGAAGGCCAGTCTGAGGCTGGAGGCAAGCGGGGGGGGGGGGGGGGGCGCTCTGGCCTTCCTGGCCCAGTGTGGTCAAGCAGGGCACAGAGTCTGTCCTGCCTTTTGCCAGGACGGACACCACATCAGGCCAGGGAAGCACACTGGAGATGTGAACGCACCGGGCACGTGCCACACACACACGCACAGTTTTATACACCGATATAAACGACACATTTTTAATGGGAAGATTAGCACAGTCCGAAAACCAGCCTTTGCAGCCACAGGATCTCCCAAGGAAGTCAGAGTCCGATTTGGACTGGCTCTTTCCAGCGCTCTGCAAGTGACCAGGCTGCCCGGAAGGGAGTGGCTCCCCCCCCCACGCCTCGTCCCCCAGGCACCAGTGCGAACCTCGGCCTTCACGGCAGCAGGTGCAGATTTCAGCTGTGCACACGGGAAACCTCCCCCCCCCCGCCCCTGCCTCCCAGAGCTCACCTTCCTCCTTCCTGCCCCAGTTCCCTGACTCCGGTGTCCACCGGTGGGGCCTGTCTGAGGAGCCGCTGAGGGAGGAGCTGGTGGCCGGCGAAGGGGGCTGGCTGCGTGCGTTCAGGGGGAGATCCCGCAAGCACCTCTCCAGGCCTTGCAAGGGGGGCCCATTCCGGCCGAGTCCTGTGGGAACAAGGGGAGCAGAGAGGCTTCCATCAACTTCAGACACCAGAAACAGGTCGCACAGCTCCAAACTGCCAGGGACCTGTCTTGCCAGAAGCTACCCTGCAGTAAGTTGGCAAAAGATTTCCTGCACAACCCTTAGCCCTGGCACTGGGGGATGTGTGGACATGCAGACTCGGACCCTGGGTGAGCTGGGTCCACATCCCCATTATCTAACCATGGAAGCTTGCTGGGTGACCTTGGGCCTGTCACAAACTCTCAGCCTGGCCCACCTCACAGGGCTGTTGTTGATTGTGAGAAAATGGAGGTGGGGAGAAGTATGCTCTAAGATGCTTTGTGCCCAAGCAACCAAATGCAAATGCAACACTGACTTTCCAGGGGCCTCTTAACTGTCGGGAGGGCAGGGGTCCCTGAATGTGGCATCCGGACTGAGAAATCCATCCAAATCCTTTGTCCTTGTACACCAGGGCTGTGGAGCGTACGCTGTCTGTGGGCCAGCAGATGTTTTGCCCGCAGACATGCCAGAGTACAGCCCTGAGAGCACGTGACTGGCAGGCCCTGGAACTGGTCTGGGCCTCCACGATGGCCACCAAACAGCCAAGGGGCTGTGGCTCAGTGGGTAGAGCCTCTGCTTGGCATGCAGAAGGTCCCAGGTTCAATCCCCGCCAGCTCCATTTAAAATGGCTAGGAGATGTGAAAGACCTCTGCCTGAGTCCCTGGAGAGCCGTGGCCCAGTAGCAGAGCCTCTGCTTAGCGTGCAGGAGGTCCCAGGTTCAATCCCCGGCATCGCCAGTGAAAAGGACCAGGCAGGAGGTGATGGGAAAGACCCATGCCTGAGACCCTGGAGAGCTGTAAAGAGGGGCTGTGGCTCAGTGGCAGAGCCTCTGCTTAGCGTGCAGGAGGTCCCAGGTTCAATCCCCGGCATCGCCAGGGAAAAGGACCAGGCAGGAGGTGATGGGAAAGACCCATGCCCGAGACCCTGGAGAGCTATAAAGAGGGGCTGTGGCTCAGTGGCAGAGCATCTGCTTGGCATGCAGAAGGTCCCAGGTTCAATCCCCAGCAGCTCCATTTAAAATGGCTAGGAGGCAGGAGATGTGAAAGACCTCTGCCTGAGTCCCTGGAGAGCCGTGGATCAGTAGCAGAGCCTCTGCTTAGCGTGCAGGAGGTCCCAGGTTCAATCCCCGGCATCACCAGTGAAAAGGACCAGGCAGGAGGTGATGGGAAAGACCTCCTCTGCCTGAGACCCTGGAGAACTGCTGCCAGTCTGAGTAGACAAGACTGGATTTGATGGACCCAGGGCCTGGCTCAGTCGAAGGCGGCTTCGTGTGTCCACGTGGCAGGCCGGAGTCCCTGCTCTCACCTTCCTCCTTCCGTGCCCATTTTCTTGGCTCCGGAGTCCATCTGGTGAGTCTGTCCGGGGAGCTGCTGATGGAAGAGCTGATGGCTGGGGAAGCCGGCTGGCTGCACATGCTCAGAGGCAGTTCCTTCGAGTGCCTCTCGGGGCCTCGTGCGGGGGGACCAAGTCCTACGGAAGGAGGGGACGAAATCAGCAGACGCAGGAACAACTCTTTGCAAGGTTTGTGCCCAATTTCTTTACAGCATCCAGAGCGACCCTTTTTTTTTATTAGCCAGATTTTTATTTTTCCCAACATAATAACTGATAAGCAAAAAACCAAACAAGACAGAAAAAAAAATCGGGTCATTACAGCCTTAAAACCTTCATGTCTCTAACTCCTTACAGACAGTTCTAAACTAGTCTATTCAAGTGTCCTTGTCAATCCAATTGTATAATTTCACCCAAGTATTTTGAGAGGCACCCTCTTCTCTATCACGAAGGTTTTGAGTTAAACCGTCCAATCAGTGCCGGATTTATGCATAAGCTAAATAAGCTACATCTTAGGGCCTCGCAATCTGCTGGGACCTCAAATAAAAACACAATATAAAAACATGATTTCAAATATTTAAAGGGCATATATATTTTAAATTTTTCTGAGACCAGCTGATGTAATTTAACACAGTAGGGGGCCTCTGGATTTTGTATAGCTTAGGGCCTCAACAAGTCTAAATCCGGCCCTGCGTCCAATTCAGCCACTTCCAAAATTTCTGTTATAAAGTCCCGTTTATGTGGAAGTTCTTCTTTCTTCCATTGCTTAGCCATAGTCATCCTTGCCGCAGTTACCAGATGTTAAAGAAGATATTTGTCACTTTTCTTTAGATTGTCCGGTAATACATTTAGCAGAAAGATTTCCGGATCTAAAGCTATCTGAACGCCCAATACTTGCACTATTATCCTATGCACCTCTCTCCAGTATTTCTTTACTTCTTCACAGGTCCACCAAGAATGGTAAAAAGAGCCCACCTTAGAATTACATTTCCAGCACTTATTGCTGGCACCAGGATATCCTGGTATCCTGGTACCAGAGCGACCCTTGAAGACTACTCAGAGCCTGCAGCTAGTTCGGAACGCTGCAGCTAGACTGCTGGCTGGGGACGACTATCAGGAGCACGTGACTCTGATACGACAGCAATTAGACCGGCTGCCGGTCTGCTCCCAAGCCCAATTCAAGGTGCTGTTTTTGACCTTTAAAGCCTAACATGGCTTGCAACTGGGGTATCTGAAGGACCCTCTCATAAGAACATAAGAGATGCCAATGTTGGATCAGGCCAAAGGCCCATCCAGTCCAACACTCTGTATCCCACAGTGGCCAGAAATACCAGTGCCATCAGGAGGTCCACCAGTGGGGCCAGGACACTAGAAGCCCAATTATAGCCCCCCCCCCCAAGCACCAAGATGACAGAGCATCACTTGCCCCAGAGTCCTTATCTATACCTTGTGGCTAATAGCCACTGATGGACCTCTGCTCCATATGCTTATCTAATTCCCTTTTGAAGCCGTCCATGCTTGTAGCTGCCACCACTTCCTGTGGCAGTGAGTTCCAAGTGTTAATCACTCTTTGGGTGAAGAAGTACTTCCTCTCCTCCCCGATACTCCTCAGCCAGGTGCAAGTGGAGGAGTGGGGAATCAAACCCGGTTCTCCCGGATTAGAGTCCGCACACTTAAGCACTACACCAAACTGGCTCTCTGATATGACAGCTCCAAGGACAGAGACGAGATAAGAGATGAGCTGGCGGTACATACCGAGACTAAAGGGAGGGGTGAGATCGGGCAGGCTGGAGATGGAGTGGGGGAGGGGAAGAAGCAAACTCATTCATGCTCCGTAAGGAACACACAGGAAGCTGCTTTCCACTGAACCAGACCTCCAGGGTCCACCACCGTCAGTCTTGTCTGCTCAGACTGGGAGAGGCTCTCCAGGGTCTCAGGCCGAGGTCTTTCCCACCACCTCCTGCCCGGCCCTTTTCCAACCAGAGATGCTACCGGGGACTGAACCCGAGACCTTCTGCATGCCAAGCAGGTGCTCTACCAGTGAACCACGCCCGCTCCCCAAGCTAATACATGTTTCAAATACATAAAATCTGCACTGAGTGGAATGTATCGCTGATTCAAGGCCAGGAGCGTCAGGCGCATGTCCACCCACGTGGCTCAATTCCCCCCACGCCAATCTGGGGAAAGTGTTGCATTCCTCAAAATATGCACTGACATGGGGGCTGAGTTGGGATTCAAGAGGCAGCTGGGAGTTGTCTCCTCTCAACGGATCCCAAACCACCGTTGCCTGGGGCAGGGGCAGTCCTCCGAACCGAGCCACTCGAGTGACTGCTTGGGGGCCGCAGAGGGAGGGGGGGGCTCCGCTCACTCCCAGACATCAGTGGCACAGGAGGTGACGGGCACCCCTCCGCCCTGGTCTGCTCTCCTGGCCCAAGCCCAGCTCTTGTGGCAATGCCACAGGGCCCAGGTGGGGATGGGTACCCCGGGCACCAAAGGACCAGGACCCAGCCATGGCCAGCGGTTAGGAATGAAAAAGGAGGAGGAAGGAGGAGGAGGAGGAGAAGAAGCAGAAAAAGTAGAGGAGGAGATTGAATTTATCCCTTGCCCTTCACTACCCAAAGGAGTCTCAGAGCGGCTTACAAACTCCTTTCCCTTCCCCTCCCCACAACAGACACCCTGGGAGGGAGGTGGGGCTGAGAGAGCTCTTGACAGAAACTGCTCTTTTTCAAGAACGGCTCTTATCAGAACTACGGCTTGCCCAAGGTCATCCAGCAGCTGCAAGTGAAGGAAAGAAGAAGAGACTGGATTTATACCCCGCCTTTCACTACCCAAAGGAGTCTCAGAGCGGCTTACAAACTCCTTTCACTTCCCCTCCCTGCAACAGACGGCGGTTCCTCTCCTCCCCGATACTCCTCAGCCAGGTGCAAGTGGAGGAGTGGGGAATCAAACCCGGTTCTCCCGGATTAGAGTCCGCACACTTAAGCACTACACCAAACTGGCTCTCTGATATGACAGCTCCAAGGACAGAGACGAGATAAGAGATGAGCTGGCGGTACATTCCGAGACTAAAGGGAGGGGTGAGATCGGGCAGGCTGGAGATGGAGAGGGGGAGGGAAAGAAGCAAACTCATTCATGCTCCGTAAGGAACACACCTGAAGCTGCCTTCCACTGAACCAGACCTCCAGGGTCCACCACCACCAGTCTTGTCTGCTCAGACTGGGAGAGGCTCTCCAGGGTCTCAGGCCGAGGTCTTTCCCACCACCTCCTGCCCGGCCCTTTTCCAACCAGAGATGCTACCGGGGACTGAACCCGAGACCTTCTGCATGCCAAGCAGGTGCTCTACCAGTGAACCACGCCCGCTCCCCAAGCTAATACATGTTTCAAATACATAAAATCTGCACTGAGTGGAATGTATCGCTGATTCAAGGCCAGGAGCGTCAGGCGCATGTCCACCCACGTGGCTCAATTCCCCCCACGCCAATCTGGGGAAAGTGTTGCATTCCTCAAAATATGCACTGACATGGGGGCTGAGTTGGGATTCAAGAGGCAGCTGGGAGTTGTCTCCTCTCAACGGATCCCAAACCCCCGTTGCCGGACAGGGGTAGTCCTCCAAACCAAGCCACTCGAGTGACTGCCTGGGGGCCGCAGAGTGAGGGGGAGCGCCACTCCCAGACATCAGTGGCACAGGAGGTGACGGGCACCCACCCCGGTCTGCTCTCCTAGTCCAAGCCCAGCTCTGGTGGCAATGCCACAGGGCCCAGGTGGGGAGGGGTACCCCGGGCACCAAAGCACCAGGACCCAGCCATGGCCAGCGGTTAGGAATGAAAAAGGAGGAGGAAGGAGAAGGAGGAGGAGGAGAAGGAGAAGAAGAAGCAGAAAAAGTAGAAGAGGAGATTGGATTTATACCCTGCCCTTCACTACCCAAAGGAGTCTCAGAGCAATTTATAAACTCCTTTCCCTTCCCCTCCCCCACAACAGACACTCTGAGAGGGAGGTGGGGCTGAGAGAGCTCTTTCGAGGACTGCTTTTGAGAGAGCAGCTCTGAGAGAACTTGTGACTGACCCATGGTCACACCAGCCGGGTGCAAGTGGAGGAGTGGGGGAATCAAACCCGGTTCTCCTGGATTAGAGTCTGCTGCTCTTAACCATGACACCAGACTGGCTCTCAGCAGTGGGGCCCATGCTCCGCCTTCAGAAGATCCCACGTCCACCACTCGGTACGGCTAGCAAGAAGGGTCTTGGACAGAAGGACTGGGGAAGTCCTCCCTCAGCCAGGAAGCCTGGAGGGCTGTGAGCAGCTCAAGAGGACAACGGCGAGCTCAACAGCCGGCGCCCCCACTCTGCAGAAGGCAGCTTCCAGTGCGGCTTCCGAATCCGATAGGAGGGTTTGTGGCAGGCACCACCTGACCCTTTCGCAGCACATCTGGGGCTGCAAGCGAGAGTGAAAGAGGCAAAGCGATGCACAGGATAAGCCCATG